TCTAAAGAGAATGTTCTATGAAACAAACTAAAGTCACTGAACTCTTTGGAAAGACTGATGATTACTTCTCCAGCTTGATACCATTTGTCAGCAAACAGGTAGAGTACTAGAAAAAGTGGTTATAGGATTCCCTGGTCCTTGGGTGCTTAAAGAAATCACCATTTTAATCTTGGGGTAAAATCCAGATGTCATAAGAATCCTCAGGAGATCTTAATAAATCTTTATAATACCCATAACTCCGTTCCTTCAGGTTTTAGGCAAGCAATAATTATTGTTTCTGGGGGATATAGATCACTCCTTCTGGAATTCATTTGTATAATATGTGACTCTTCCTAATATTTATATTTATGCTACCAGAACTAACTTATGCCTTAATACTAGAATCTAACTTGTGGTGTTAGAACTTGACTCAATTACATAACAGTCCTCAGAAAATGAATCTAGGGAATACTCTCTAGAGGTGGCCCTCCTCACTCTGGCCTGACCCAAACTACTGACACCTTTAGAGTATCAGGACATTCTTTGCCCACATTCCTGAAGGCTGCCTTCCCCATGGGACACTCTGGAAGAAATCATCTTAGTTTTTCTTGAGCTTTTATTTGTGTGAGTTACATGCTACATAAAAAGTTTTTAATAATAAATAATTTTCCACAATGTCTTACCCCACAAAATTAAAAAATACTTGTTATTTGGCCTTCAACCTCTCTTTATTATAGAAACTTTTCTATCCCTTATGGTTTTCAAAGCTCTTGTTTTGTTCTTAACTTGGTTCTGTAGACTCAAATGAAGTGTGTGTGTGTGTGTGTGTGTGTGTGTGTGTGTGTGTATGTATGGGTCTGTGAAGAAGACAAATTTCCATGGGAAAGATTTGGATAAATCAACATCAAGTTAGATGCTGAATACTTAGGGTAGGGTGGACAATTCAGGCACCATTACTCAGTGGGCGAGGCTGAGTTGAAAAGTCAGAGGAGTTTTGGTTCTGCCAAGAATTTCCTATATAGCCTGCCAAGAATAACCTATTTAATCATCAAATTTTGCTGTGCTCCAACTTTCCTATATGTAAAATTAAAAGATGATAACATTTCTCTGCCAAAGGAGGCCATTTGATGGTTATGGTAAATTATTCCACATCCACATATCAATTGATTTAATTTATATACCATAGGCTCAAAGTGGTGGAGGCCTACATGGGCTGCTGGTGATTCTAGAAACTCCATCCTTCACGAATGCAGATTCAGCTACAAACTGCCATAGTTCAGGGCCTTTTATATGGGAAGTAAGCTAAAACTATTTAAGGAATGACCCCTCAAAACATCCCTTAGTTTTCTACTCCTTTTTGGGGGTAGAAAATGTGCTCCATTTCTTGTGCCTGCTACCAAGAAATAACCCATATAGCTTTCCTGATCATTGAAAGTGTCTAGGAGTCTCAGGAGCAATCAGTAGCAATGTTGTTCTATTTTCTGGGACCCAAAGTACCCAGTCTTGTACAGCAAGCTCTGTCCTCTGTCATTAAAACATGGGAATGCTGATTGTACCAGACTTGTTGGGCTTTGGTTTAGAAACATTAAAGTAGCCAGTCTTGCACATTTTCAAGCTCTGTGCTCTTTCAGCTTCTCATCCTAATAGTGATGTATGTGTGTGTATGTGTGTGTGTGTGTGTGTGTGTGTGTCTTTTGAGGGTGAGCTGAATACCTCAAGACTCTTAAGTTGAGAAACAGTAATAAGAGAAGTCAAAGAGATGACAAGTAAATGAGGAAAAACACAGCTGTAAGTGCCCTGGTTGACTTCCAATTGTATTCACACCAAAGAAAAGAGTATTTTTACAATGTTGTGTTTTTATCAGTAAGAGTTCTACCTGGATGTTTCTCTAGCCTCCTTATTTCCTGCCAATGTGACTTTTTGATATTTTCCTTGCTCCTGACCCTGGGAGAGAAAAAAAAAAACCTACTGAATCACCTAAAGTACATATCACCATTCCCACCCCACTGAGGACATATCTCTTCACCCTTGCTCACGGTGTTGTCAAGAAGAGATATGAGCACACATGGATCTGAATGTGTCTAAGCAAGGTGACTGTCTATCTCTAGGAAGACTAACTTCTGCTCCACCATCCTCCCAGCACTGATTCATGAACCTGACATCTGAAGACCACACAGATTCCAGAGCAAAGCAGGGACAGTTGGCACAACAAGTAGGTTGGTCCATCACAAACAAAATGCTCCCTTCACATAAAGCCTGGCTATTTCTGTCAACCCTGTAGGTGTTGGTGATCCACAGGCAAGACAGGGCAGAAGAAAAAAAGAGTAGCTCAATGAAGTATAATATGTCTGCCCAGTTCTAAATGAACACTTTTATCTACCAAGAATGTGTCCCTGTTACTCCATAAAGTGATTGAAATGGGCAATTTGAGATCTATTTGTTAGGGATGTGTGTGTGTGTGTGTGTGTGTGTGTGTGTGTGTTTTGGGGAGACGTACAAGCATGAGAGAGCTCATGGCAAAGAGATCAAATTAGGTGAAATAATTGTGTTGTTTGGGTGAATTTGTGGAAACAATTTATAAGTTATGATAGCACAACTCAAGGAGAGGCAGTGTAATGGCCTGGTCTCTGGTTTGCAGATGGTTCTTATGTCACAACTAAAGGGAGCTTTAGTATAGCCCTTGATTTAAAAAGAAATGTTCAATTACAATTAAAGTGTGAGTGACATTGGGAGTTAACTACACAAACTGTTCTGAATATGATAGAAGTTTCAGGTAGGTGTTTTTATTTTTTTTATTTTTTAAACACTCCCTCTGGAAACAGGTAATATCCGTATCTAAGAAAAGCAGATAGTGCAGGCCATTCATATTCCAGTGATCACATGTCCTGAAGCTGCACGTCTATCAGATCTGAGAGACATGCTCCTCTCCAAGCATCTGAAAAGCTCCTTATACCTAACCTTTAATCAGTATCCTCCATGGTCTCTCCCTCTGTCACTTACTTTGTTTGCATACATGTATTCCAAGTACACTCTACTAACCAAAAGACTGCTTAGAAAAATATAGAAACATGGAAAAATATGTAACATGGAAATGTAGGCATGTGACGTACTGCTGTGATTGCAGTTAGGTGTAGAAATAGAGAGGTAACTTCAGAGGGATTCATCCTTAGATTTTTACTTCAGATCAAGTATCCTGAGGTTAAAATAAAGTGATCCCTTTTCAATTATAATTTATAATATCAAATATTTACTAGTGCCCTCCATATATAAGATGCTCTGGTAGGTGCTAAGGAGATAAAAAGATAACTAAATATATGATCCCTGACTACAGGTTGCTTATAATCTAGTCTAGTAAGGGAGATGAGATGTAGAACCAAATGACTACCAAATTAAGATGGCCTGTGATAGTTGCTATTAGAGAGATACAATTAAAGTGTTATCAGCGTTCAAAATGTACCTACATTGTTCCTGGATAAGAGATGAAGAAAAGTGAATATAGTGGTCTATTTGTTCTTTGAAGATTTTTATAGAGGGGGGGTGTAAGAAGGGCGTCAGATAGGAGATAGAGAGGAGAAGGATTTGGAGCAGTTTAAGTAAAGTAAGAAGTGGGAAAACAAGTCAGTATAGGAAGGTCAAGAGACAAATATCTTATTCTTTGAATGAGGATGAATTCCAAATTTCCAGTCCTACATCCTATTTCTCACTTCAGCTTAGTGCACATATTTCCAACCACCTTCTGAACGATTAACTTCATATTGAGTCAGATCCAAGACCATCCCTGCAAACCAACAGAAGGTGGCTGAAGATTTGGAATTTTTTATCATTCAAAGAAATGCTGAAGTCATAGAATATAGAGATATTGTTACAGAAGCACGGAGATAAGGAGGATAATAGTGTCAAGCTCAGAGTCAATGCTGAGGAGATGGGAGGAAGAGCAGAAACCAAAGGTGGATACAGAAAGAGGACCAGAGGGCTAGGATGAAAACAAGAATGGGCTGCTTCTCCATCATAAGTTTAGGTTAATCTCTATGAAGCTGAAGAACAAGAAAAAAAGGGGGTTGAATTTTGTAACAAGAAGTTCATTGAAATGTTACCATAGAATACTTTCAGTGGAGTGGTAGAGTGATGCCCAATTTTAAAATTCAGTTCACGAACAACACTAGATGAGGAAGTAAAAAAAGAAAGACTACCATTTTGAGAAGTTTGGAAGTGGGAAAAAAAATGGAGATAGTATATGAATTTGAGAATCTGATTGGATTGAGATATTTGTTTTTCAAGATTGTTGTAAGATTTGTTTTTAGAGATGCTGCTAGGCAGGTTTGTGGAAGAAATTAAAAATGCAACAGAGAAAAGTATTATTGGCTGGAGTCGAACTTAGAAGAGGCTAGAGGGTGGGTACCAGAAATAGGGAGTGAGGATGAAAAGATGAGTGAGGACAGAAGAAATTTAAAGTAGAGAGAAGTTACATGAGAATTCATAAATTAGATATCTTTTCTTAGTAGCATGATAGGAAAGACTGCCTGTTGAAGCAGAATAGACAAAATGATAGGCAAAACAAAAAATAAATTCAACAAAATTTGGAGAATATGACATGGAATTAACATTGAAGAATAAAAAGATGCCCAAGCTGGATAGGATTCTGGTGAGATTAAATGGGTCAAATTGTGCTCTTCAGGATCAGTTTAAGACCTTGGAGATTGAAAGAAAGAAGACATTGCTGGTGACAGTACTGTTGATGTGGTGAACATGGGGTTAGACCAAAGAGGGAAGTATGTGAAGTAAGAGAGTTTTATGGACCAGAAAAACAGAAGGAGCTTGAAGGAAGGTAGATAAGATATAGAAAATGCAAGGTTGTGGCCAGAAAGGGAATTTCAGAGTTTTACCTGAGATAATTCTCAGAAGAAGAAATCTAGGGTTGGCCATGATGTAGAAAGCTGAATCTCTGCAGTGTTTTTAAAAATAATATAATGGATAATATATTTGATTCACACTCTGAAACCAGAGAACATTAAACCTGCATGGATAAATATACTAATTTATTCACAGCTATTTATACATACATACTACATACATTTAAATATTTTATATTTTTGTGTTCATATATTATATAAACATATGTTATTTTAAAATCTTTGCTATTCTTCACAGCACCAGCCCAGGACATAGTATATACTTAATAAACATTGGTTTAATTTAACTAACATATTTAACTATGTTAAAGAATTTTTATTTTTTCCCTACATAGTTAGGAATCTGCTTCACTCCCTAAAGTATAATGCTAAAAAAATTATAAATTAAAGAAAATTCAGATTTAAAATGTGGAGACTAAATATTTAAAGTAACAGTTTTATAGTGGGCTTAGTGTTGTGCTTTTAATTGTACCCTAACTCTTAGACTGAATTCCACTTATTTTACCTTTGCCAAAATACAGGTTCCATCCCCCAGTCTCAAGGCTATGGGAAATTCTACTCTGCTTTCCCCTTTCAGTTCTCTTCAGGAATCCTCACCTCCGACTTATACCAGCAATTATGTTTAGATGTATGGAACAGTGCCAGAAACTCTGTGTGATGATTCTGAAATGGATGCAAATGGCCACACTGGCAGAGAAGGGTTAATGATTTCTAACTTTCCTCACTTATTCCAGCACTGCTATCCTAACCCATCACTCTTTGGGCAAAATTCGTTTTCCTTGCTTCAATATTGTAAATGAGAGGCCCCAAACTTCACTAACCTACTTTTCCAAGGCATGGGAATAGTAGTGACTTGAAGGTTTTTTTGATGGGGTTATTGGCGATGAGAATAGATAGGTCTATATATTGAAGTCACAGAACCCATAAGGCATGATTGAGTCATGGCTGGAAAGAGATGGCGATGGGATGTATTCTGTTATCATGTGATTATATGTAATACTGGAATCCCCAAAATCAGAATGGAATCTTCCATCTAGGTCAGTAGAAGTTCTCAGAATGACAACTATATATTTTAGTGATGCCCCAAATATCTGGTAGTTCTAAAAATAATTGCCCACTGGTTAAGTAGCACATGGTAGTCCAATAGCTCCTTAACAGACAGTTAAGTGTGTGTTGGGATCATTGGGCACCCTCTTTGGAGGTTGGAAAGTAGAAGATACAGAACAACTCAGCAAAATTGGAAGATTAATTGAATTGGAACAAAGAACATATAATTACAATAACTTTTTATTATCATAACATTAATTCAATTGATTTTTCTAGCTGCTCACTCCTGTAATGGAGGAGAAGCATTAGTATTTCATTTTGTGTTGAAAAAGTCATAGTCCTTAACCCACCCTACAATGTACTGAATTTATAAATTCATAAACTACATATTCATGTAACTGCTTATTGAAAATAATTCCTAACTAGGAGTCCTAATCCCATGTCACATGAACCTTAAGTAAACACAGATGGAGGATGGGAGGGTTTAAATGTCCGTTTACTCTAGAACCTATGTCTTTACTCCCTACTCTATTACTCTCACTGTTCTTTTCTCTCTCTGTCTTCTCCTATACCATTAATTTATTCCCAGGAAAATAAATGAGAAACCTAATGTACACTAGGTATTACAGTGTATAAATCCCTAATATGGCTTAATATATCACCCTTCCTGGTTTCATTTAAATGACAGATGAGCAGCTCAGTGCTAAAGGAGTAAATCTGTGTGGAAAGCCAGTATTTGGAGAAGAATGGGGAATGAAAAGCGAAGGTCTTCTCAGGACCTCTAAAATCACACTATGGATCAAATACCTTTTGTAAGGCCAGACACATTCCAGTATAACTATCTACTCTTAACTGCTTCTCATCCATATAGAGTTCCTTAGACAGGAAGGATAGTTTTTGACACTCAAGCGAAGGAAGCAAATCTCTACCAAAGTATTTGGCAGTCTACTGAGCACACATTTCTTATATGGCTTTGGGCTCAGAACACACATAATTTATGGCCACAATACCTGGAAACACCTAATGCATTCATCAATAGCACTGCGGCTGCATTATTTATGCACACATCTAAATCATTCCTAACACAGCAAACAGACACATACAGGTGTTAAGCAATGACTAGGATTTTTATAGAGAGTTTGGGATTAAAAGAATAAAGTTGTTTTAGAATAGCTTTCTCCAAAGGCTATTGCCCAAGCCATCTGGTTATTCTGTCCATAAATCTTGAACTAACTAACCAAACAAGCAAACAACAAACAAAACCCCAAAGAAACTCTAGTTCTTAAATGAGAGGCACAGGTGACCAGAATACTGCAGTATTGGTTACACATTTTTTCACCTCTCATGCAGAGAGTTTCCCTTTGGGCAACTTTAGATGCAAGGGGAGACTGGGTGGGTGACATTCACTTAATTATAGATGACTCTCTTTTTATCACATTATGCATGCATTTTGGCACTACTGACACCACCAACATTTAATGGAATCATTTGGGATTTTCTCCCCCAATCACAACATGGGTGGCCAGCACAGGGGAATCCACATCAAGAATGTTTCCTGCATTCTGGCTGAAAATACACAGTGAAATACTTTGAAATTATAAGACCCACTATACATGCATCACTCTGAAGGGTATGCACATTCTTGACTCGGGAAAATTCCAGGGTCAGCTTATTTGAGGTCAGTAGAAATGCTGAGATTTAAGCAGACCTCTGATAGGATTGATTTAGGACCATATCCACCAACCCACTTCCACAGTGGAAGGAAATAATAGAGAATACAAAGATGGGAAGCATGGACTCCAAAGAATATTGGAACAACTATTGCTCCAATGGTGTCAGTGGAATCTCACAGTTTTGAATAGCCTGGGTCTCTGTCCTTCTGTGGAATAGATGAGGCTTACTTCAGAATTCATCCTTATGCATTTTACTGGTTTGTTATTTTGGAATGAAGTAATACCTAGAACCTAACAATGCTCAGCCATCCTTTCTTTATGCTTTCTTGAGCAGGCCATGAAAATCTTATTTGGTCCTAATTCAAATATCCAGTTGAAGAGAGATGATCAACTGGGGCCAAAGAAGGGGTTAAGGTAAATAAAATGACTCAGCTGACAGATTTGATAATAGAAGAAAGGAAAAAATAATTAATGTAATATCACAGGTAAATGGATTTGGAAATTTCACCCTGTGGTGAACATAGAGAAGCTGTCATCATTCACAAAGCCAGAGGTCCAGTGAAAGAAATTCAATTTGCCTGGCTAACCCAAGGTCAGGTTAAGAATACCTGGCTTGAGGCAAATAGCCCCCTCGTGATGGCAGAAATGAGGGCAGACAAATATAAAATCACTGTTGGCACCATCCTTTACATACGTGCCCTACTACATCTAAAACCAACTTCTGCAACCTAAGAGAATGATATGGCCACTGAGTTTTGAGCATATCTGGTAATCTTTTCAGAAAACCATGTGAATTTGTAAGACAGGCATCTGGTGCTACCTCCCTGTAACCAGATACCATGTTTCCAAAAGCAGATCTAGTGGGGATTTTCTAGGTGTGATTTCCATGGAGGAAGGGAGGGGACAGTGAGAGGGTGGGTGCCCAGGTATTGGAAAGAAGAGTCTAATGACTGAGATGGTTGTTAAACATCAGGGGGAGCTGCTGGGAAAGCCCTTAGGACTGAACTTCCTGAAACCTCTCAGCTACACCGGAAATGACAGATTAACTTGACCTCCATTCTGCTTTAAGTCCTCTTGAGAATCTTCCCTATCCTAAATACTGGCAGGGAAAATATGGTGCCACCAGCTTGATCTATATCTACCTAGAAGTTAGGAGCTGGACCTGGGGTTTGCTTAGAGCCAAACTGGTCCCTATGCTAAGTAAGCCCAGGCCGATGGGCATGAATGCTTCTCACAGACCAATAAGACCAGAGAGGTGGGGAAGCATGGACACAAATGACTCTCCCTGGCTTTCTCACCACAGTGGCCTCCACTCACATTCACTTTTTTCCAGACACCCTGAAGCAAAAGCCATCCATACAGTCTCCCCAGTGGAAAATGAAAACCCATAGCAGAACACTTTCCCCCTTTACTCCCATCCCCTCCCTACCCGCTCCAGCCCAACACCCTGAATACTCACAAGAAAACACTTTATCTATACAAAATTAATTAGAAAACAAAATATTTACATATGAAATAAACACCATCTTGATTTCTGTCACCAGTGGAGACCAACAGAGCCCCCTTTGTTCTAGATTGCTGTTCGCTAGGTTAGTTGGTTTGGTTTTTTATTTGACTGGGGTGAGGTAAGAGGAAGAGTGAGGGAGGAGCCCCTGACCTTGGACAGAGTCAGGGTGAAGCAATGTTTATATGGCCCTTCTCCTTCTTCCTCCTGAAGACATCTCACACCCTCTGTCCTCTCTCTCAAAGTCTTTCCTTGAATCTAAAGTAAAGCACTCCGTGCTCCTCTCTCCACACTTGTGAGAGGTTCAGCCCCTTGTCCCCAGGTTCATTTTAGAAAGAAAACAAAGCTTTACAAGGCCTTCAGTTGGCTTTAAAATGGAAGATACTGAGGTAAAAAAAAAAAATCAAGGAGGAGGGTGGGATAGCAGTCAAGGATGAGGAATGAGGAAGGGTGGTGAGTCAGGGCAAACAGAAGGCAAAGAGCAGCCCTGGAGGGTGTGACTTGAAGAGACATGGCAGCTTCCTTCCAGAGGAGGATGAGCACCTTTCTGGTTTGTGTGTCCTGTGTGCAACATGGAGGTCCTGCAGTCAAGCTTCCAAACAGACCTGGGCTCTGTGGCTGCCACCTGTATAAAGGGAGGGTGGCAGGACAGTGGAACTGACCCAGAGTTTCAGGACCAGCAGTGACAAATATTCATTTCCCTTCTCAAGTTTCTGACTTTCAGTGAAAGGGGCATCACATCTGCCAGTACCTTCCATCCTGGAGTTTTTCTACATGTACATATTTTATTCTTGGATAGTATACTCTGGGAGAGAAAGGTGTTGCAGGAAGATGGAAGGGCTTCTACCAAGAGTGATCACATTGGGCTCAATGTCACATTCTCAGGGAGCCAGACCCAATGGTTAGAAGGGGTATGCCCCCCTCCTCACCACTTCCAAATCTCTTCCTTCCCTCCATACCTCTTGAGCTATACTCATGAGTGAGCTCATTCCTCTTACCTGTTACCTAGCAGTTGTGATGGATTCTGAGGGAACAAGCCTGATCTCCTAGCTCCAGGTTAAGTAAGAAGGGATCAAAGCATTGAAAACATCCCCCTCTCTCACTTACCTTACCATGAACTACTCCCTATTTCCCAAAGCCTTACTTAGCTCCTCTCCAAACCCAGATCAGGTGAGGGTCTAAAGCTCAAGAGAGCTTTATAGAATCTTTTGCTCTCTAGAGGATCATGGCCATTTCTACTTCCCTTTAGCCTTCCTGGAAAGTTCTTGGCCAAAACCAGTTGAAGATATTGGCAGCTGGAGAAACCGCTTTTGTACCTTGCTCTTGTAGGATTGTTTACCACCTTTTTGTCTGGACCAAAGATTCTTCTCTGAAAAGAACTCCTGTTCTCTTCATTCAGGAACGGTGAAGGGATGAGACAGCCAACATTCAGCTAACATATGACCATCTCTGCTTGTATATAAGCCAAAACAAGCACACTGCTGAGGAATATTGAAAGAAACACGAGGCTTGGTTGCCTTCTCTACATTTATAGGCCCCTGACTCTGTGTGTGTACAGATCATATATGTGCAAATGTATTTGCACACACATGCATATGCAGTCCATCCTCCCTTGCCTTTAAGGCACCATGAAAGATTGCAATGATGTACTTCCCATTATCCACCAGTGACCTTTGTTCACCACTAATGAGTCTCATGGAATTGAAGCAAACATTTTGGCTTATATACCAACACACATGGCCTCCCCACCTCTGCTTGGTACATGATTCCTAAACAGATGCCATCAAAGCCACAAGAATTTAGCAAAAGCCTCTTTTCATTTACAGGCAAGTATGCTAAATGGTCTTATTTGAATGCTTTTGCTGCCTCATCTAAACATAAAGCTCAGTTTGGGAAGAGCTATCCTGTGCTCACATGGCCTCCTTTTGCTTCTCCTTGCTTCACTCAAAGTGGGTGACAGAGTCCTTCCATGCTAGCAGGAAGCTCACGAGCAGCCACTTCCTTTCTCCATTTTGGCCTCCCATGCTGAGCGAGCCCACTGCATCCTCTCTTGGGAATAGGAACGACCGACAGATGGGGGAAAGAGGAGCGAACTGGAAAGGGAGGCGAGATGGTGCTGGTCACCAGGGTTGCCCTCCGAAAGTGTCAGAACTCCAGGATCCCATAAATAAATTAAAACAATAAGAAAGGAGCAAATGGGAACCAAGTTCACCCCCGTCGCCCTCCGTGACATATCCACCACCACAGGTCCACAGCCCAACCCTCCCATACCCACCTTAACCTCTCTCTTTCCTCACTCAGACATCAGACTCAATACTAGAAAGTTTCTCATAAACATGACCATTGCTGGAGCCATTGAAAGCCCTGGGGTTTTTGTTGTTAGGCACACAGGGGTTGGACTGGTTCCCTATACAGATGTCTTTCTGGAAACGGCCTGGCACAGCCCCATGAAGGGCCGAGACCACTGGCTTGGTGGTGACAAGGGCACGGAAGTCTGGCCTGGCTTTTGGCGCCCCTGGCACCGAGGGCTGCCTGAAGAAGTAGGATTTGCTGCCATGGAGCAAGCACTGGTCATCCCCAAAAGTGGGGATGAAAGGGTTTTGCGTGACCCGGTCAGGGTAAAGCGACTTGCTGAGCATGTAGCCGCCGCCGGGGTTGTTGTGGTGGTGTCCGGCACTGGACACTGAGGACTTGTTGTTGGCAAAGGTGCTCTCGCCAGCTGGCATCTCAAACATGTGGGCGTAGGGACTCCCATCCACGAACCGGCCCTTGTCTTTCAGGCTCACACTGCGCGGGGCCAGGGCGGCTTCTTCCTTCTGCAGATCCACGAAGGTGTCGTAGGAGTGCTGCCGGCGGAGCTTGTTCCGGTTCTTCTTCTGGGCCTTGGAGTTGGTCGGGCTCTGGGGGTACTTGGTGGTGGAGGCGTTGGACGTCACGGCCACCGGGGCCGCCGGCTGGTCCAGCTCCTGCAGGGAGTTGTCCTCGCTGATGTCGTACAGGTTGCCCGCCTTCTTGCAGGCCTCGCAGCGGATGCACGCCTGCCGCCCCGAGTTCTGCCCTCCCACCGACGCGGAGTAGTTGTGCAGCTTGGAGGGGCAGCTGCGGCAGAAGTTGCCCCCGGAGCGGTCCTCCCACTCCACGTTGGTCAGGTTCTTCTCCCAGGGCGCCGGCACCCCGCCCACCACGCCGTGCTTGTCCCCGGCCCCGTGTTTGAGGTGGGACCTGTTGGTGCAGGGCCCACCTCCTCCTCCTCCTCCTCCGCTGACCGAGTCGCTGCGCTCCTTGTAGATGTCCGTCAGGTCCACGTGCTCCCAGTGGGGCGAGTTCTCCTTGGTGCGGAACTGGTCCAGGTAGAAGTCCCGCAGCCCTTCCTTGTCCCTGAAGTAGCGCTTGTGGTCTGGGGAGCGGGGCGGCCGGCGGCGGTAGGCCAGCTCGATCTCGTCGAACTCGCGGCGGGACTTGGCCGAGGCGGGCCGCTTCTTGAGGCTGTCCTTGTACTGCTGCTTGCGCCTCTTGGCCGCGTTGCCCTCGATGTTGCCGTAGGTGACCGTGTGCGTGGAGATGTCGGACACGTCGGAGCGGATCAGGTCGTCGTGGCCGCCGTAGCGGTCGCCCTTGAAGGAGAACTTGCCGTACAGGTCGCTGAGCTGGCCGTGCTTGGAGGAAGAGGGGAGGCCGATGTCCAGGGGCTTCTTGCCGATGGGGCGCGGCTGGGCGGAGAAGGGCGGGTTGTCGCAGTCGTAGAGGCCGTCGATGGAGCTGGTGCTGCCGATGCTGTGGGGCCGGTGGTGGTGGTGGTAGTGGTCCTGGTACACGTTGCTGTCCTTGAGCTGCAGGTTGCCGAAGGTCCTCTCCACCTCGCTGATGTAGTCGCTGAAGAGGTTCTCCTCGCAGGGCGGGTTGTTGTAGGACTTGCAGTCCGAGTGTGTGAAGCTGCGGCGGTGCTCGGAGATGTCGTAGACGGAGGACTCGCGGCGGATGAAATCCAGGGCGCTCTGCGGGGAGCCGTTCACCCCGGACAGGTTGGCCATGTTCTTGGCCGTGCGGAGCAGGCGCAGGATGTTGGAGTGGGTGTTGTTCATGGTCGCGGTGGGGGAATTCATCACGGATTGACGCTCCTCAATGGCCACTCCATGGATGCAGCTGTAGATACCCTGCAGAACAGGCAGATGGGAAGGATTAGGTCTCCGGCGAGGCTAAAACATAACTGTAAGGAAACCCCTCTCCGCCCCCATTGCTAATTGCCTAATGATAAGAAAAGTCAGGGAAAATATGAAACCGATAGCTTATAAACTCATACAAAGATGTGGCTAGAAGTTGCACGATTTATCCCACTGCATTTGGAAGTCTCATATTAGGAGCTAAGGTCGTGGCCTAGCTGGATATTTGAGAGGATGAATGACTACAACAAGTGACTTGAGCAAAGAGGATGAAATCATAAGACGTTCTTGCCCTGACTCCCTCAGTGACTTGCACCGATGTTCCTTTTTATGCCCATGCAGCAACATCTTAAAGCTGATGCATGGTACGGGCCAACAGCAGAAAATATTGTCAGCCTCCTGGAAACCAGTAGCAATGTTCTACAGATGCTGAGCCTGCTCTGCCCTGGCTGGTCACACTGGCTGGCAGGAAACCACAGGGAAGCTCTGTAGCTTACAATTGCCATTCTTTTCCAGCTCTGACAAATTTTGAGCGGCTTTTAGAATTTTGATCACCAAATAACAGCTGAGCAGTTCTCTTCTTGAGTCAAGCATGAACTAAATTCAAAGAGAGAATTAGGAAGCCCTTGGGTCAAAGACAGATTTTTCTCCTGCTGTGTCCTACACCATGGGAGGGAAGAATTGGGACAGAGATCTACTACTAAATAGGAATAAATAATTCCCTTGTTGAATTCTTTTATATGTTCTCTCTTTAGCTCCTGATTTTCTTCTTATTTTTTTTTCCATTCAATTTTATAAATATTAATTAATATCTTAGCAAATTAGTATTGATTGAGCACTCCCTGTATGCAGGACCTTAAACACCACTAGCCAAGAGAAGGAATGGGTTGGGTTCAAGTCTAAAAGTCAAGCCAACCACCTGCTAATATCTTGCCCCCTGCATTGAAAGGTGGACAAATTTGAAACTTTTCTCCCTGGCAAGGGAAGGTGTTTGAAGAGGAGGTTGTTTGAACTGTGTCTTTAAAAGAAGGGCACAATTTAAAAAGGGAAGTTGTCCCAATGGATGGAGATGGAAGGAGAGAAGGTTAGGAAGGAGGATGATAAGCAAACAGCAAAGAAGAAAGGTTTAGATGAGATGAGCCTCACTGTCCCAGAGGACACAGCAACATAGATCAAGGTAAGGTTACTCACTTTGTCAGACCTCCTTTCTAACCATTCTTAATTATGGCCAGGAGAAAATGCCAAGCATTTTTCCTGGACAGAGGCATTGATTATGTAGAAGGGCTATGCATGGGGTTTCTATTCCAGGTCACCTGCTCCGATCGTTTCTGCCATCACCCTATCTAAGACCACACAAAGAATCAACATGACTCATGGTCCACAAGTCCTGTCATCTTGATCCAATGTTACTGAATAGCCTGAATAGCCAAGATGAAATTGTTCTATATCGCCGGGACCGGTTTAGCTCAATGGATAGAGCGTCAGCTTGGGGACTGGGGGGACCCGGGTTCGATTCCGGTCAAGGGCATGTGCCTTGGTTGCGGGCATATCCCCAGTGGGGGGTGTGCAAGAGGCAACCGATCGATGACTCTCTCTCATCGATGTTTCTGGCTCTCTATCTCTCTCCCTTCCTCTCTGTACAAAATCAATAAAATATATTTAAAAAAAAAAGAAAAAAAGAAATTGTTCTATATCACTGAAATACAATAGGAAAACGATCAAAAGATGGAACAATTTAATGAAAAGTCTACTTTCCTCCTCTTCTTTTCTTACTCTTCCTTGTGACATGTTCATATTAAAAATGTTGTAAATCCTTAGTTTGGACTAGAAACATAGAAGTCTAAATAAAGAGCAATTTCAGAGTTATACTTTGCTCCAATTAAGGACATTTCTGGATGTAAATTTTTTATGGATCAGGACTTATTTCTGAAAGTTCTGTTAAGCTCTTTAACTCCCTATAACTCACACATGGTTTAACTCCCTATAACTCACACATGGGGAACAATCTATATATATATAAAAGTCTAAGTGACTGACCATTCAACAGGTAGCTATGACATGTACTGACCACCAGGGGGCAGATGCTCAATAAATAGGCATGGAAACATGGAACAGACTGATGAATCTCAAAGGAAAGGGGAGGGGCAGGGTGTGAAGAGATTAACCAAAGCTCTTATATGTATACTAGAGGCCTGGTGCATGGAATTGTGCACCAGTGGGGATCAGGCCGAATATGTGTACAAGTGCTCTAACATCCCCCAAGGGGTCCCAGATTGCGAGTAGACACCGGCCAGGCCGGGGACCTTACTGGTGCACAAATCCCTGCACTGGGCCTCTAGTAAAACAATAATATACGTTTGTATGTTAGAATAAGAGAGACATATTACATTTCTCTATCTGAATAGAAATATCATTTTAAAATAAAGGATTAAATGATTATGGCAGCCTATACAGAATTAACTAATGGTGATGAAAGGCATTTGGTAAAAGGCCAGCTTTTTTATTCTGATAGATCTGCCAGTTCTCATTGAGAACCAAATGTCCAAACCCTACATAGAAAGCTGTTTCTTGAAGGAAAAAAAAAATAGCAGCACCTGTTTTGTAAGCCCCTGGAAATTATGTCGTGCAACCTTACTGGGGAAACATACATGATATGGTTTCTTGCTTCAACAGCACAGGCTGGAGTCAGTGCCCTTCTGGGTCTCTTGGCTTTGCTCAAAGCTAGACTGAGCTCCAGGCACCTAAATCAGCCCACTTACTCTGCTGATGGAGAAGACCATGCCAGGCTTGCCGGAACAGACGCCCATAAAGCAGTGCCGGAACTGCCAATAGAAAAGGTGTTCACAGATGAAGGTGATGAGGCTGAGAGCCATGGCTGCCCCCAACATGTAGAAGACTCCTGCCATGTTATCAATGTCCAACTGGCTGCTCATGACTTCGTTCTTCTCATTGTGGCAAATGCCAGTGAGCCAGAGAGCTTCCAGCTCCTCCATCTCCCCTGGAAACAGGGCAGGACAAATAGGTAAAGAAAACAACAGAGGAGTAAAAATAAGAAAGCACGAGGGGTGTTGGGGAAGAGAGAGCAAAACATGAGAGAGAAAGAGACAGGGAGACATAAAGAAAGAAAATTAATAGAGAGTTAGCAGTAATTTTATTAATACTATTGTATCATGTACAAGTATTTACTGTATTCAACAAGTATTCACTAAAAACTTAATGCAGTTACTGCAGAAAATACAAAGATATGAGGCATTAACTGCTTTCCGTTATCTAGCCAGTATAAATTAGCATATACATAATCAATATGATAAACTATATGCAAGTAACAAGAGTTAAAATTAGTACAAATAATTTTGTAGGTGAGTGGCCAATAGGTGTTCACGAGAGAGATAAGACTTGGAGGTGGGCATGGTGAGTGGGTGTATTTTAATGTATGTTGTATAAAAATGCACTCCAGGCAGCAGAAATAGCAGGATCAATGGAAGGAATGTGGAAAATTGAAGGCTTATTTAGGGAAAGGCATGCAGAACAGTTCAAACAGAATACAAGTAGGCAAAGAAAGCTGAATCAAAAAAGGTTGATGCAGAATTGCTGAGGGCTTGTGCTTCAGACTAAGCATTTGGCACTTTATTTTGTAGACAGTGAGGAATAACATCATCAAACAAGTGATTCAGAAAATTGCTCTTAAACAAATGTGCAAAGCAATTGGGTAAAGGAAGGAAAGACAGAGATTAGCAGAGAGATTGACTGATTCCCTAGGGACCCTCACACTTACTGGTCTTTTGTTGCCAAGGAAAATACAAACATTAAGAGTAGAGGGAAGTGAGCTTGAATAAAATGAGACCACCGAATTCAGACCTGCCTCCTTTTAATACTGCTTAAGGGAGCTTTGATGGACTCAAATTCATGTCAAGTTTCAATAATCTTTATCCATTTCACTAGATACTAGGACTTAGAAATGTAGAGAATCTAAACAAAAGGGAAATGAAAGAAACTACATGACCTAGAATGCATCTATTATAATTCTAAATGAGCAACATTCTGAAAATCTCATGAAGGAACTGCCTGTTCCAATAGTTCTGGTTTGGCTAAAAATCTGAATTTTGTATAATCCGACTGGAGCTTTGGTCACTTTTTCAAATTGTATCTATTGGAGTTCTTCCTCAGAGATAGATTTCTGTTGTTGCTAAATTCAAGAAGCTTTCACGTCAAAATGTCCAGTTAATAGTCCCGCTATCACCCCTTCCTCTTCCCAACATCAATCAAATCATCTTATATTCATTTCTTTTACCAAACTATGATTTTCTTAATTAGTGGAGCAACCACTTCACCTGGAGTCTGAAAATTCAGCTGTGCTCTTCTGCCTCTTATCTCATGCCTAACAGCAACGATTCTGCAGACATAATTTAGAGAACTGCTTGGTTGATGGCCTGTGGGACCAAGTAGAGCAAGTTGCTCAACTGTAACTGGATTACCTTCTCTGAGGCCAACAGGACAAGGAGGTACTTTGAACAATAAAGTGAAAAGGGATGCAGAAAACATGCTATACTCCATGTTTAGGAGATGAGATTTTTTTTCAAGAGCAAATTGGCTGCTCAGTCTGCTGCTGGAATGGCCCTGGGAAATACCTTATGGTGTCTGCTTCCCACTTCTTCCAGCTGAAAGAGCACGATGGGAGAGAGGAAAGAATAAGTAGATGGCCACAAGTTGATTTCTCTACCCTTTCTCTGGGTACATAGAGAGCAGAGACCTTTCCAAAGTTCTATCCACTTTGGCCACATGTGAGATGATTGTTTGGAACATCTTATATCAGTCTCTCTTACTCCCTGGAGGTTTGATCATAGCCTGCAATTCTGAAATATACCTCCTTCGTCAACTACTTTAATCTTTTGTCCTATCTTTCACCCTGTCATAGGTTGAATTGTGTCTCCTAAATTCACGTGTTGAAGTCCTAACCCTAGTACCTTGGAATGTGAACTTTATTTGGAAACATGTTCATTGCAGATGTAATTAGTTAAAATGAGGTCATTCTGGAATAGGGTAGGTCCCTAACCTAATGTAACAAATGCTCTGAAAAAGGGAGAAATTGGACACATACCCAAAAAGGAAAAAAAAAAAAAAAAAAAGGAAAAGCCACTGGACTTGACAGCAGAGATAAGATAATTCTCCTTAGCAGCCCTCAGAAGAAACCAATGAACACTTTCATCCTGAACTTCTGGCCCCCAGCAATATAGGTCAATATATTTCTGTTGCTTAAGCCACTCTCTGGTTCTTTGTTATAGCAGCCTTAGGAAACTAATACAAACCCTCAAATCTCATAGTGTATTGTGGCATGCTTTTCTGGAAATTCAGGAATTAGCAGAATAGGGAAATCAGGTTGATATTTCAAATTGGTCATCATAAGAGGCTAAGAAGGCACTTTTCTTTTGTTAACTCACCATCTCCAAAAAGTTGCAGGATAGCAAGGTCCACCTGGCGTTTCCACCCAGAATCTTTTTGGATGGCAATGCCATACCCAGTGGAAGCAAAGACCTTCCCACTGCCAATGGTCACCAGCTTGCAGCCTTCATCTCTGCCTGCCATGTAGTTGAGCACTGCTGCATCATAGATGAAGGCATCCAGTTTCCTGTTCAGAAAAGAAACAAAGAGACCAAATCCAATGGAGGAATTTTAGAACAGAACTACGGGGACATTAATATGAAGCAGTAGGGATCCAGAAAACTGTGGGGAGAATTGGTTCAAAGAAAGGCTCAAGTTGGAACTCAGCCAGAATCTAAAGCTTACACCCCAGGTTATTTCTTATGTGATTTCAAGTCGAAAGGAGGAGTTCTTTCCCTCTTACTGGGAATGATGAGAATGTAAGTTTGGCCTGAAGCCAACTTATAAGCTGGGTCTGAAAGGGAGAGGAAGTAAAAAGGAATCAATAAAAATAATAACAGAAATAATGAAAAGTAACCATCACAATGATAACAACAAATAGTGTGGGTTAGATTTATATAACATTTTTCATTTTCCAGTTCATTACAGTCCAGAGTGGGGATAAGTGTAGGTGTACGTATTTCAATAGATGGGCAGTGCTATTTTTGTGGTCCAAAAGGTTTCAATATTCTGCTTTGCCACACAAGGAAAAAGGAATAGTTAGTGGCAGCACAGGCTTGTGTTAAGAGCAAATGTGTGAAACTAAACAAGAGATTGCAACATAGAGAAAAACTCAGATCTCTCAAATTCCTAAGCATATATAAGAACGTCCTTTTACAGGGGTGGGCAAAAGTAGGTTTGCAGTTGTTTGTATGATAAATACAAGAACAAACAAATAATACAAAAATAAACTCTGTGTTTTGTATACTCATAACGATAAACTTACTTTTGCCTACCCCTGCATATTGTATTTTGCAAGAAGAGAATATGTTCGGAAGTGAGTAGACTAGGAGTAAGAGTAGGAAGGCATAAATCAATACTTGAAACCAACATTCAAGCACATAAAAGGTAGAGGGAAAAATTCAGACATAACCATATGGATAATAGAGAGGCCTTGAAGAAAAGCATGCACTATCCTTTACTTGTATAAATAAAGCTAGCTTTATTACCCCTCAGGAAAAAATAAGCCCTTTCTGGTATAAGTCTTGCACCATATTTAAAAAGGTCCATGAGGACCCTGTGGAAAGCTTTGATATGATTAATAACTGTGGTGTACCAAGGGCCAGACCAATCAACATAGTCCTATCTCCAAGCTCAAATCCCATCTTCTAAAATCTGCTGTGGCTTTATGGTGATAAGATAGAGTCATATGAAGGTGGGGATGAGTGGGTGGGAAGAGCTTAACCAAAGAATTTATATACATATATGCATAACCTACGGATGCAGAAATAGTGTAGTGAAGGCCTACGGCAGGGGGCAGGTGGGATGGGCTAGAAGGGATTAATAGTGGGGGAGATACATTTGTATTATTTTCAACAAAATAAATTTTAAAAAAGAGAGAATCATATTACAACATATCAAAATATTTAAATAACAGTATTTAGATAACCATGCATCTGGTGGCTCTTCCAGAACTGAGGCCACCAGAAGATATGACTATTGCTAGTTATCATACAATACAGGAAATTAGCTATAAGACCCATTGACCCCCTCAAACCCCAACATCTATAATGCTCAACTGTGGTTTCAGGAGGCCAAATGAGTAAAGAGATCTATGTGGCTGTGATTATGCAAGCCAACACATTTGCAGATCATGAGTTCCTTTTAAAGAACAAACATAGAGTATAGAGCTGGATCAAAGAATAACAACAACAAAAACAGAACAAAGATCAGTCAACATATTCTTATTGTTTGTTGTATAAACATGTTTACCCTTTTTTTCTTTTATTTCTCCCTTGTCTATGAGATACTAGAACCATCATTTTCACCTCTTGTTCAACAGGTCTTTATTTCATGTGTAACACATGAATCTTATATTGACTTTTTGCTTCTAATTTTATATCCAAATTCCTGTTTCATGGTTACATTAATGCAAGTAGAATATAATTTGTAAAACATATACATAGAATAAAATAATAGCATAGGAATCCTTGTGAACTGGCCTGAATAATACTGTCAAATTTAACTTGGAAATCCATGAAGAGTAAGTGAAGTATTTCCTGCCATAACTTTGTATGGCACCCCAACATAGTATAATACATAGTACATCTGATTCAATGTAAGTTTATTTATTTTAAAATATATATATTTTATTGATTTTTTTACAGAGAGGAAGGGAGACATAGAGAGTTAGAAACATTGATGAGAGAGAAACATCAATTAGCTGCCTCCTGCACACACCCCATTGGGTATGTGCCCACAACCAAGGTACATGCCCTTGACTGGAATCAAACCGGGACCATTCAGTGCGCAGGCCAATGCTCTATCCACTGAGCCAAACCAACCAGGGCTCAATGTAAGTTTAATAATGTGAGAAACATACTATGGACTCTGAGCTTGGAAGTAGTTCTTACCCTGTTTTCAGGGAGAGCAACGCATCATCCACATCCCTCTGGTTGAACTTCCCCATGTAGGCATGCATTTCCGCATAGTTATTGCGAATATTCCTCTCTGTGCTGCCATTGGGCACCGTTCCAAAGCGAAAAGGGGGTGAGAAGTCATTAGGTCTCTGGAACTGGAGAGATAGAAAGAGAGAGAAAGAGAAATAAAATGCTTCAGATGTGAAGAAATATTAAGTTAACATTAGTGGATTTATAATGGAACAGATCCAACTATAGTTCACCAAATACACTAGCCCTCACTCAGGAGTCACCCAAAAGTAGACTTCAATTTAACTCAATTTGAGAGTTATTTGACTGACTAATCTATAACCCCTGTGTGCTTCTTTTATACATACTGCACAATACCAGTGATGATGGAAACAAGCTGTGGTACACTAATCACCTTTATTTTTGAACACTGTGTAAAATCTGCATCCAGGCCTCTTATTTAGGGGACTAAATATATTTTCCCTGTACTATTAAGGCCACAGGACCTTGATGAGGCAAGCTACATAGTACTCTTAAAAATAATTTGCTGGGTATCAAATACATTCTACGTTCATCCTACATAAGAAATTTTCTTTTGACCTTCCCTAATGCAGTTAAAGCTCACATTCATCCTACATAAGTTGTAGGATAAATTTTAAAATCAAATACAGTTTTAATTAAGTTTCTTCCTTGCTTAAGAAGTGAGAGTGGCTTGCTAGTGCCTACCATAATAAAGTGAAATCTCTTGGATTTTCATCTCATGACATCAGTTTTATTTCTGGCTTTTGCCCTGCAATGACTAAGTCTTGTGTGTTGCTCCTTAAAAATATCATTTGTTCATTTGTATCTTTACAGTATGTCACTTTAGCATGAACTCACCTTTCTTTCTAGGCCAAGACATATTCTTCATCTCAAAATATAACTCAAAGCAATTTCTCAGGAAACCTTCTATGAGTTCTTTCTTCCATTAAGTCTACACAAAGTGAACCATCAGTTCTTGGTGTTCTTTGTTTAGATCATTCTAATTCATACTACAAATTCTATTACTCTCTAAATGAGCTGGTTAAGTTATGAGAGATAGTTTCTGATGTAGTCACTAAGAATTTAAGCTCCATGACTGAGATAGGTATAGATTGATGACCAGCTCTTCCACTTACTACTGTGTGGCCTTGTGCAAGGAACATGAACTCTCTGAGTTTCTGAGATTGTTTGGAGGATTAAATGATATAAAGTATAATAATTTTTTTTACACAGCACCTTGCATACAATAAGTATTTAATAAATAGGCTCAATAAGTGTTCCTTTTATTATTTTAATTCATATTTATATTCTGTATTCTTTAGCAAACTTAATGCTCTTGGAGCTTCTCATTCTATTAGTACAGTGTGTCCCAAAATATATATGTATACATTTTAATAGTTGATAGCTTAATTTTGAAAATGAAATGTATTTTAATAAACATTGCCTTTATAATTATTAAAAGTGTGTGTATACATTTTTGGGGGCCATTCTATATAGCAATGAACAGATAGAATATGACAAGAGTAGCTCTGTTATGCCTTGGCATCGGAAATTATGTATATATATATTAAAGTTTTCATAGTTTCAATACTATACCATGTACTTGGGAGATACATTTGAAAATCTAACCTGTCAACTCAGGAGTACACTGGACCTTTGGAATAGCCTGAGCTTAGAGTAATTCTCTTAGGGCCATCCTCTTAGAGCCATTCTTTCTCCTTTTCTTAGTCTGAGAAGCTAAAGAGCATCTCAGAATATGAGGTTCAAGGATCACAACATGTCACAGTACCAGGAACCATAAATGCCATCTTACTTTCTCATAGTTGGCCATAGTTAAAAGTAGAATCATGCAGTGGTATTAGGCAATCTGTAATATATCAAATACCACTACTTCCTGACTTAAAAAACTGATGGTTCACTTTGTGTAGACTTAATGGAAGAAAGAACTCATAGAAGGTTTCCTGAGAAATTGCTTTGACTTACCACAGTACTTTTTTCCATTAAGAGTTTTGATTAATTATTTTGAAAAAGATTGTGATTTTCAAGTCAATGAAATTACTACAAAAAAGTCAAAAGAATTTTTGGAGTTGGATGAGCCACTCAAGGTTAGCTAGTTCAAACCTTTCATTTTATAAATGAAGAAACTGAGGCCCAAAGAGAATAAGCAGTTTGCCAATTGTCACACTGTTGCAGCGGTGGCTAACATTATCAGGGATCAATTAGTAATACAACTCATTGTCTCCAGCAGGAAGCACATTTAAAGAGAACAAGTATGTGCTTTATTGAAAGAGACAGACTAAAATGCTATGCACATCACTCTCAATTATATCACTTTAGACACTTGAAAAAAAAAAGGTTTCCTCCAAGTCACAAGTAGAATAGATATAACTGCAGCCAGCATGTAACCAAATAAATTCCCTTTAGTCAGTAATTCTCCACTTTGCCAGGACATTGACAACCATGCTCACTGTGATTAAGATACTGTAGGGCCCAAAGTATCTTCTGAAACATCAATTCTGGTATAAATTTTTATATCCTAATTTTTTGAAAATTGGCAATCAATGAAAGGTATATGGAACATTTTTGATTAACCAAATAGAATCTGGAGTACCCAGAGTGTCTCATTTCCAGGTGAAGCTGGATTATGGAAAGTTTCCATATTACTCTTTAATAACTTTGAATTTTAAGTTATGTTTAGATTTCTAGATGCTGTTTTATAACCACATGCCTGAATAACTAAAAGCTAAAGAAATGATAAAGGACATCAATAAACAGGAGAACTTAGAAAAAGAAGAACAAAGCTGGAGGAATTATGTTATCTGACTTCATGACTTATTTTAGTACATGACAGTGTGACATTAGAATAGAAATAGTAAAGAGATCGCTGTAAAAAAATAAACCAACACATGCCCACCAACAGACTAACACACATGTACTGCAAAGGTAATTTAGTGGAGATAGGACAGTCTTCAACAAATGGTGTTGGAACAATTGGATATCCATATGCGAAAAACAGAACTTCATTCCACACTTCACAAGGTATACAGAAATTAACTCAAAGTGGGTTATATCTCTAAATATAATTACTAAAATTATAACATTTTTAGGAGAAAAATCTTTGTAACCTTGAGTTAGACAATGACTTCCGAAATACAATATTATAGCACAATACACACACACACACACATACACACACACACACACACACACACACTCCTGGTCTTCATCTCTTTGAGGAACACAGGATCATGAAAAGAAAAGCCAGTGACTGGGAGAAAATATTTAAAAATAAATTAAAGCAATTAAAACACTGAAGGAATTAAATAAGAACATAGCAAGGCTCTTATAGTTAAAGCACCTTCCCTAAGAAAACAATCAGAGAAACCAGTCAGCCCTAGAAAAATGCGACACAGTCCCATGGAGGCAGACGACATACTAGTAGATATAAATCCCAGCTCTGTTTCTGATCAGCTGTGTGTACAAGGGCAAGTTACTATATTCATGAAGCCCCATTTTCCTCTAAGTATTATTTTTCATGAATAATAAGACAATGTATAGGAAACCACTTAATACAGTATCTGGCACATGGTGGAGTCTCAAAAATTATTAACTGCTTTTACAAGAATGAAGTTCTAATCTTTAAAATTGTCTTGTGGTAGGCAATGTTCCCTAAGATTGAAAACTCTTGTTCTCTAATTTGTTCTTTAAACTAGGCCAGTCTGGGGACCAATGGGGAGGGAGTGCATCGCCCCAGAAGCAGAAGCCAAACCAGAAGCAGAACTGAGTTGGCCTTTTCCTTTGAAAATTCTTGTCCTAGCTTGGTGAGGTTTAAATAAAACACAGGTTTTTAAAAATAATCTTCCAAATACCTGATGCTTCCAATAAATGCCTTGTAATAAAACACTCCAAGCAGTGAGGCATTATGTAGCACTTCTTTAACCTGAGAGGCAATGAATACTCTCTAGGGTTTTGGGAAGGCCAAAAATTTAGTACTGTCAAGACCCAGGAGTCTTAAAATCTAATTATTGACCCCAAGAAACAATTTTTTATAAAAATTTTAAAGTCTAATACATCAAGGAGACCAGCATTGGGTTAAAAAGCCCAGTCTTATTTTAAAGTAGGGAATTTTATACAGTACTTCTTTATTTTACTTTATTTAAATTTATTGGGTTGACATTGGTTAATAAGATTATGTAAGTGGCCTTAGCCTGCTTGGCTCAGTGTATAGAAAATTGGCTTGCGGACTGAACAGTCCTGGGTTCTGGTCAAGGGCACATACCTGGTTGCAGGCTCAATCCCCAGTGCAGGTTGTGCAGGAGGCAGGTGATTAATGATTCCCATCATTGATCTCTCAATATCTCTCTCCCTCTCCCTTCCTCTCTGAAATCAATAAAAGTACATTTATAAAGCTTATATAAGTGTATGTTTCTATGATACATGGTCTGAATATTGCATTGTGTGCCCACCACCCAAAGTCAAATCACCTTCTGTCCCATATGTCTGGTGCCCTTTACCCTTTATTACCTCCTCACCCCCTTCCCTCTGACTCACAGATATATGAAATGATGCTCAACTTCACTAGCTATTAGGGAAATGCAAATGAAAACCACAATGAGATACGACCTCACACCTGTTAGAATAGCTATGATAAATAAGACAAGTAATAATTGTTGGAGAGGTTGTGGAGAAAAAGGAACCCTCATTCACCATTGGTGGGAATGTAAACTGGCATAGCCAACATGGAAACGAGTATGTAAGTTCCTCCAAAAAATAAGAATATGACCCATCAATCCCTCTTCTGGTTAAAAACATTTATTCACAAATATATATACACCCCTATACTCATAGCAACATTATTCACAGTGGTCAATACATGGAAATGACTCGTGTCCTTTGATGAAAGATTACATAAAGATGTGGTACATATCCTATCTAATAAAGAGGGAATATGCTAATTGACCATCACACCCTCACAAAGATGGTGGTGTCCACAGCCAATAAGGAGGTAATATGCTAATTGACTATCACACCCTCAAAGATGGTGGCACCCATAGCCATAAGATGATGGTGCCCAGTCCCCTAAGCCCTGCTGGGCTGTCAGCAAGCAGCACAGCTGTGCCCACCC